TCAACAAGTTCTATATAGTTCAGCAAGGAGGCTTATTTCTTTTGAACAGTCATGCTTAAAGAATATTGCTGCCCATCATACGGTATTCATTACCTCTTTGTTTCGAAAGTCTGTCATCCACACAGGGAACAGGAATGATTCCATATGACTTAGGTGACAAATCATAAAACATAAAAAATGAATAGCTAACAGCTGTTGGGACTTTTCCTGCTCAAAACAGTTTCCTTCAAGTTAATATTTCCTCATGCTCCTAATTTTCCAAAAATGGCAATCCAGATGTTCTACTCACAGTACAGGTAACTTTAACACCACCAGCATCAATGGAGAGATCACGGAAAGGCTTTTCTGCTTCCTTCTTCTTTCCCTTTCCTTTCCTTTCTTTCTTTCCTTTTCTGCTCTTCAGCAAGAGTAAAACTTAAGCACAGCCAGGTGTTTTCACTTCAGAGGCTCCAATGGTAACAACAACTCCAGTGCTTGGAAGCTAACAAATTTGTTGTGTCACAATTGATAATCAACTCTAGTAAAAGAATGTCCAAATCAATTGAGCTTTAGCAAGGGCAAACTGACTGGACACAGCCAGGCTCCCAGCAAAAGTAGGCCAAGCTTGATAAATTTGCCCTTATTATAGCTATTGATGTTTAAATTTCTTCAGGGATGTTGTTACATGGGTGCCTAGTGGTGACAGAGGTACGATGACCTCCTTCGATCCTTAATCTACACCTGTTAGTTGGCTCCCTAGTTGCTTGTGAGTATACTCAAGCTTAAAGGTTAACAAAAGAAAAACAGGCCAAGTTTACGCGACTGCAGCAACGGATCAATGCAGAGTAAATAACCTTCTCTGTCTTATTTCCCCAAGCATTATTGATCCGAGTTCTTTGTTCTTTGTCATGTTTCTGTCTTCTAATCCCAGGGGACACTAAACGATCGGCTCATATTGGACATGTTAACTGGCACATTATGACAGCTACCATTTTGTCACTCAATGTGGTGCTATATATAAAGAACCCTCGGTTCAGGGGTTTCTAAGGTGCTGCCTCTGAAACAAGCCTCAGGTACCTGCTTTTCCTTTTGGCTTCCTTTGTTCACTCACCTCTGCCCCTTAGGTATTTTATCTAGAGATCTGCAATAACACTAAACTTTTTCTTTTACTATTATTATTAATAGTCGCTCCTAAGGTTCTCCTATCCTTAAAGATGGACAATAACCAAACAGTTAAAAATAATAGACACTTTTGCAGCATTCAGTGCACGGCAGGAGTTTCAGGCAGCAGCAAATGCTGGTATCAATTCCAACCTGTCGGGGCTTGTTGTTTTTTATTTAGGAACAGGAGCCCTTTCCTTTCATTACCAAGGTTACATTTAAAGGATATTGTGCTTTCCTAAGTGTTCTCAATGGATTCCAATGGGATATTACAGATATCACTCTATCCATACTGAGCCTAAGCTCCATCTTTCAGCTGCGTGGATGCTCCAAGTGCCGTAACAGTTCTATAAACTTGCAGATTTGTGGTGGAAGTCTGTGTTCACTGGGAGACTATTGGATTTCTAACAGAATTAATTGGATTTCCTTCCTTATGAATGCTCCCTCTACATGCCTATCTCTGAATAAAGACTTGCCAATACTAACTCCCAGAATTATAAAAAAAAAAAGGAGAAAAAAAAAAGAAATGAACTTGGAAGGCATGGCAACCTACTATTGCTTATTTAGCCTTCCTCACACTTTATCTAGGACACAGAAAAAGCCTATTCTAGAAGGGAAAGCTTTTCCCTCCTGTGCCAAAAAACTCCCAGCAAGGGATCCAATCACTGGAGTAAGCGTTGCGTGCCTTTCTGTCACAGCAATGGAGAGGCCATCATCTGAATAGTATCATATGGATTTAAGACTCTAAAATTCATAAGACATTTTTGGGTCTGTCTGGTGCTTAATCGACAGGATGATATAGATAGAGGCAGTAGGACTACATTTTAAAACCAAAGAGAATTGATAGTCAGAAGGTAAATTCCTGCCTGTTTCTCTGTGTATAGCATTTCACTGTATTAGCCATCACTAATCACCGTGCAAATATACTCTGTCCAGTGGACAATAATGGCATTATTACTTTCCTGCCACAGAATCTTATCTTTCTTCAAGTCACAGCTGAGTCAATCTGTTCTTTGAACAGGTATTTTTGTTAATGCAAAGGAATCCAGGGGAAATGCCGTATATTTCAATTGAATTTTAAGTTCCTTCATGTCTCCATAGCTGATAATTAAACCAGCTGACCTGCTTCTGCATTGAAGCCTGCAGGAAATTAAGCAGATAATACTCGTTAGGTAGATAGGCTTTTGGGGATAGTTTATTAGAAGAAAAAGAAGGAGCCCCCAACCAAACAAATAACATTGAACTATGAATCTTGGAGCAGCCTCACCAATTGGCTCTGGGGTTCTCCCCCTTTTCTCCACCCGTAGCAGAGTTTGGAGAATCGTTGGTAGGAACTTTTGAACAGGGAACTAAAAAAGGACATCCGAAGCATTTGTCCCAGTTAGGCTCAGTTATTCAGGCCCAAACCCTAACTAAGATATGTATTTTTAAAGTAGAAATAGATTATTCCAATATTCATCTTTCAAAGATGGCATCCTCCCCCTTTTTTTCTTTTTTATTTTTTCAATTCAAACCACTAAAATATGCTAAAACCACAACTGGAGCATGCTGTGGTGTATAGCTAGAGAAACCTCTCAATTTGATTTGAAATGGGTTTGTTTTCCTTTTTGATATGGTGAAAATATATCCTTAAAAGACATTTTGATCTCCCTAAAACATTTTTATTTTTTGGACTTGTTGAAAAACTGAAAAATCTAGGGGTCAATCAGATTTGCCAGTTAATTCGTTCACTATTTGTCTTTCCAGCTGCAATTACTTTGGGGCAAAGACTGTGTTCTTCAGTGTGTTTAGAGTACGGCTGAAATATCATAGCAAAATGTAATTATTAGTAAAACTGACATGAAAATACCTGACATATGTTGTATATGGGCAATATGTGTTATGCCAGTGGAATCTTTGCTCCATATTTCCAATCAGTGTGGGAGTCTTTTATGTTACAGTCAAATATGAGAAGAGTTATGACATTGTTATTATTAAAGCATTGGCTGTCTGCAGAATAGTCACATATACATAGTCCAAATATCCACAAGAAATATAAGATTCACTAGAACAAAGAATTTCTTCTCTTAACTGAGGTACACACATATTTTCTTTCACAAAAGTGCATTGTCTCTGTCCTGCAGGTGTCAAACAGCATCTCTATTTTGCATTCATATAATACTGTTAGGATGGTTTGAATTTCTATTTATTCTGAAGCCAGTTCACCTCTACTGCTCAGCAGGACGTCCTGCAAAGTGATTTCACTGATGTGGTGACATCACTGTGTTAAAAATAAGCCACGGTGGCATGTCTCTGATGAAAAATGTTATTATTCAAAATAAAATGATATTTCAAGTGCGCAAAGCTCTCAGTGTGTTTGAAGTGTATATTTAGAGGAGACAGCCCAAACACTCTGGTGTGAGAGAAAAGTTATATTTCACTATAATATTTTTATGTGGCTATAAAATACTATGTGAAAAAAAACTCCCAAATGATGCCTTGTTTATTTAATAATTTAGCTTTTTCAGCTGTCAGCAGAGAGATGCAGTTGAATTCCCTTAGATATGGAAGATATTCAGCTTGCTTGATCCTTAATTCAGTCTCCTTTTGGAGGACAGATGAAGGATCAGGTCTGCATCCCGATATTTAGGATTGCAGCTTTTGACTCCTTTTAGGAGCTAGACCAACACCTACTAAGCAGATAGATGTATGGGCTGGCTATTTAAAGCATAACTGTTGAGCAGTTGAAGGCTGGCTTTTCTGAAGGTGTTTCAGTGGCAGGTTTTGTTTTGCTTTCTTTTGTTGTTTTCACAACCTAGCCTTTGCCCATGTAGTGCACTCTTATGCTCCAAACAGGGAATAACAGTGAATTCTACAGTTTCATGCCATTTGTGCTTTGATAGGACAGCAGTAGTATTATCAGAAATCTTCAGGGAATAGGACTCAGCAGCCTGGATTCTCCCTTACAAATGGGCAAGTCTCACAAACCATGAAAAGTCACAAAAATCAGCTCACAGACTCGAGGCAAAGTGCTTAACTAATATGGGGAGGAGGGGGAGAGAGAGGGAAAAAGAGACATTGGTTCCTAAGTCATACAAGCAGGTTCAAAATGTACCCATTGTTGGGGGCTGGGGGCTTGTTTTGGGGTTTTCCCTTAATGTCTTGAGAACAGCTGAGAGGATTCTTGATTTCCTTCAGGAAGCACGAGGGAGCTCAACTGACCTTGAAAAGGTTAACGTCAGTTTTCCACTGGCAAGTGGGTTGTTTTGTAAATGACTAGAGACAGTTGTGGCAAAAGCTCTGAAACTTGTTAAGAAAGATACCTTGCTACTTCCCATTGCAGGCAACTGCAGCCAGTACTGTGACCATACTTCTGATTTTCCTGATTGAAATAATGAGACACTGTCACAGTTCTCAGCTGGGGTAGAGACATTATTCCATTGAGTTTCATAGAGTTAGGTTGATTTGCTTTAGCTGGAAAACTGATCCAAGTTCTGAGCTTTGCAAATGTCTTTCTGGAATGTGTATGCACGTGTATGCTCATGTACAGCTTGGCTGACTTGGGATCTTGGAAATTATTGTGATATTATTAGTAATATTTCTTCTTTCCCCTGTTCTTAAGGACATTTCCATAAATAAAGCTTTTAGACTGTTCAGCAGATTTACCTCCTGCCCTCCGAGGCACACCCTAACCTCTTCTAATAATACAAATGTTTTGGTCTAAAAAGTTATTCTTGTCCTTCACGTATATTTTGTACTCCTGTCAAGGGCCAGAATGGAAAGAAATCAGGGGCAGGGAGAGGAAGGGTCAAACTGAGCCTGAAAGGATTTTTTTTTTGCCTTCATGTAACGTACAAATCAGGATTGTTAGAACAAACAGCCACCAGTGAACCACATTATTCATAACACTTCACAGTTTTCTCATGGAAGCCGACAAATGTGCATTGCCTGAACATATTTTGTTAATTCGTTGGTTTTTTGCTATGAATACAGCTGCATAATTTCAGAGCATTTCCCTGACAGTAATGAGTGGTGCTTTGTAGCTTGTGTAGGATGCACATTACTACTGTTTTGTTCATTTTATGGGTGGGTAAATCGAGGCACAAAAGTAAAAGAACAGGTCAAGTGCAGAGATATGGAATTAAAAGGAGTCTTGACAATTTTGAATTATTACCCCCTAGTCTAGCACAACTCTGCAATTTTGTATTAATCTGGTTCCTCATTTGTCAAGCGCATGATATTTTGGGGAAGAATTACTAGGTTTACTCAAAACATGGCAAAGTATTTTCGTATTGCTTAATGAATCTGTAGATGCTAGGAACCTTTGGACCATTTGTTTGATCTTCATATTTAAACATGATTTTAACAGTAACAGTTCACCCATGGCACTAAGAGACATCAGTTGCAGAAAAACACACTAATACGGACCAGAGCTGAATTAAACTGTGTTGATGGAGATAACCAGTTGCATATGTTTTTAGTTAGCAGGAGCCAAATCAGATAACCGCCATACAGAAACACTGGGCTTGATGGATCTTTTTTTTTTCCTGAGAAAAGACTGGATTGCAGCCTGATCCTTGGTTACTACGCTCCTCTGTTTATACTCAGCAATCAGGAAAATGAAATTCTGGATAAAGTGAAAAGGTGACTGGAGAGGAAGGAAGAGCAAAGTATGTGAAGGGCAAAGACATAAACATCGGTGCTGTTCTCTTCGTGTTACTAGACAAGGACCTTCTATTGATTTCTCCAGGCATGCTTGCACTTCCTTCCTTCAGTGACTAATGATACGCCCTTTGGGTTATGATGACACTGCATTTCATAGGCCGGCAGGTCGAATACCTGATGTATTCTCTGCCCGGCTCCTACTTTAAGTCATTGTCCTGCTTCAAGCCAGGCTCTTTTCAAGGCAAATAAGAAAGGGAGATAATTTATGTTGTGCATCCCAGGACGGAGAATAAAATGGAACTCTTCAAGTAGGTTCAAACATAGCTGGATATTGTCTGAAGCCTCATTTCCAGTCTGTGGCATAGCATCAAGTCTGGTGTCTTTAGTGTTTTTCTCACAACAGTTTCCAGAACTCTGTTTCCTTCTGCAGGAGCCCCAAAGTGCATATGTGTTAGGCACACATTTCCTCGCCCACCTCTGCGTTGGAACACAGATTTGTTTTAACTTTGATTAACAATCCTCCACAAAATTTTAAAGAAAGAAGTGACTGATTCTTCTCTCACTTTCAGTAAATTAGGAATAATTCCCCTCTCCCTCCCACCCCTAGGCCATGGAGTTAACATAAATAATGTAGAACTGGTGAAGGTGACAGAAGAGTTAGGCTAAAAATGAAGAAACCTACTGCCTTCAACACAGAGAATATGGGGCGCAAATTATATCTCAGCCTATTTAATTGCCAGGCAAAATGTGGGACAAGAACTCTTGGGGGCTCCCAGTCACCAGCAATATGAAGCATTTGTTAGAAGTAGCCTGTAATAGCTGCTCTGGCCAACCTCCTTCTCATGTTCAAGAAGTAAAAACAGCAGGAGGTTTTCAGAAGCGTGAAGAAGAAGTAAGCATCCAACTTTCACTTACTTTTAACAGAAGTTTGTCCTATTGCAACCCTGTGTGGCTTTGAACAGATCAACCTATATTCCACCAGCAAACTAGCTTTTGCATAATGAGCTTCCCCAGTAACCACCTGGAAGACCAGTAACACCACCTGTGAGATTCAAAGTAATGTAATGTAACCTTGAAATCACTGATTTCGCAAAAAGGGATTTTTTTTTTCTCAATATCCAGCACTGTTTCTACCATCTGGAAAGTAAAATACTTTTGTGAAGCCAGAGATCCCATAATTTAATGTGCAAAATTTAGGATGCTGATCGGGGTGGCTAAATAGCTCATGTTTGTAACAAAATGTAGCTGCACAGCTTTCGAGTGTCTCATGATGTAGATGGGAATTGCTGATGCAGAGACTGAATTTACAACACTGATTTTAAATTTCCAGCTTCTCAAAAGACTACCATGACTTAAAAAAACCTTAGGGGCGTAGAAATACATTCCTAAAAGCCTAAAAAACTACTGATATTGAGTAGCCTCCAGATTCTTTCCATGATTTCCTATTGTTACAGAGTACTTACTACTGAAAACAGTTTAAAGAAGTGCAGACACACTGTCCCTGTTTCACCTTTGTTTGGCACTACATGCCCCCACAGAGGAGATAACTATTTCTTAGCTGTTGTCTGGAGAGCTGCCTTTGGTTCAACAGCAGACTAAATACTTTTTTTCTTGGGCTGCATAGCATTTATGCTGTGGGTTTGTCAGGTGTTGATAGGAGAAGCTGATACTTAAAGCTTTATCATGCTTAATCATTGCTCAGATCACTAGTTAAGGCAGTGTATGTTCCGTCTCCTTTTCCCCATCTGCCCAAAACACATTGGCCAAGAGAGCGTTGGGTTAAAAAGACTGCAAACCAAAGCATTGTGGTTCCACTTCTTAGTCGTGGCAGCGTGAAGAAATATCTGTTTTGCTGGACACCACAAATTATGGTCTCAGGGCCATATGTGGACAGAGATGGACAGAGAGGAAGCAGGGGAACGTTCTAGACACTATTCTGGATGTTAAACAGGAGATTACAGAGGCTGCTAAAGCAAAGCACCTGCTCATGTCAAACTCCAGTTGCATCCAAAACACTGTTGGAATAAGCAAAGTCATTTCAAGTGGTGAGGAGTCATGGTTGGGCATCATGAGAAATTGCTTGGGCTGCACTTTCACGAATGGGAAGATGCATGACGCTGGAAGTGTTAGGAGACAAGAAAATGAATTAACAGAAAGGGACTTCTATTTTTTGTGCCTCCATGCAGTCAAATTTGGGAGGAGTTGTGTTTCTTGAAATGTAATGAAAATAAGTGGTCAAGCTTGGGCAGTACTCGTGCCAGTAATATGTGATCCCATCGAAACACCCTGCCAGAGGCCAGCAAGATGAAACCATACAAATCTGAAGGCATCTTCTTAATTCTGTTGTTCCTGGAACTGGTTTTTTCTGTTTCATTCATTCACCTTTTGCTGTCACCATTAGGAGGTGCTGGACGGATCCTGTAAATGTGGTACTTCAGTGCAGAAGTACATTGTGGCAGCTGATAAATACATTCACACACAGGGAATTCCTGAGCTGACAGCTAGTTACAGAAATATTATTCAAGAGCCAAAATTATGTGATCCTTCTTGGAACAAAAAGACCACAAAAATCAGAAAGCATTTTCCTCCATTGAGGATCTTTATGCCATCTCTTAATATCCAACAGACTTCTTGAGTATCTGGTGTGATTTTGTAAGTGAAACATATGATAGAACTAGAAAGCTTAATCAAGTTTCTTCACCTCACTAATTATTCATTCTTTTTTTTTTCCTTCCGTGCTTTGCCTGACAATTGAATGTGGCAGGGATGTAAATCTGGAAGGTTTGTGTTGTTTTCAGCTAGCTCTTACAACACTTTTTTCTATACACACCCATATATTAAAATCAGGAAGAAAGGGTGTCAGCCATATGATAACAATGAGGAATGGCTGGACAGAGGATCTGACTCCTTGAAATGAGTATGTTTACCATCTCAAAATTGATGAATTACTAGGGATTTTAATTGTAAAGCTCTGGCTACTATTGCCACATTTCACAGACAAGGATCAGCAACTATTTCATCTATCCATAATTTTATTTCTTTACCAAGTGCCTGATCATGAGGAACAATAACTGTCAGCAGTGTAAATTCCCAGAGGACTTTGAAGATTTACTCTGACTAACTACAGATCCATCCAATATCTCTCAAGATCAGTCTCTACCTGTCCCAGTCTGAGATGTAATGTTGCTGTAGACTGTAACTGTTTACAGAAGTGGGAGCCTTCAATAGATCAGTGTATGAAATCATTCCTATTCCTCCACAGTAGTTTGTAAAGTTTCCAAAGAGCTTTCCAGCTTTTCTGGATGAAAACCGCTATATAAATGCAAGATGCCATTATTATTTATTGTTTCAGTTTGACAGAAAGATGGAGGGTTTCATTTTGACTTTATATTTCTGTCTCCTCTCCACTTTGCCTTTGTTTCATAACTTTCTGACATGCAGAATTTTCCTTTGTATTCCTTCCATGCTGTTAAGGCAGAGAGGTTGGAAATGCTGCAGCCACAAATAAGTGTTGAATTAGAGCAATCTTTAATTATTATTTGTATTCTCATCACACAGGAGGTCATGGTAAAGACCCCACGCTTCAGCGTCCTGTATCTGAGACTAGCCAGTTCAGGATTTCCCAAAAAGGAACAAGAAACCTATTTGTGACCAGTTCTAAAAGGCACTTACAAACAGGATATTTTCTTTCACAGACTCACATACCTGCTTATGTTGGTCCTTAGAAATGCTATTTTATATTGCTTTGAAATATGTTTCTTTGCTGTCTTTTGTAACAGTTCATTTTCTCTTCACACAGTAATGAGGGGTAGATAATGGGAAACCCAAATAGCAGGAAGTTACCTGCTGTTAATTGAGTTTATATATGCTAAAGAGAGTTTAACCAAAGTTTATACATATCTGAAAGGTGAGATATCCACCATGTTATTTTCTGTTGCCCCTCTCCCAAATAATTTTTTTCCCTTGAATTCATCCCATAGAATTTTGTGGTGGGAAACCCTAATAAATAATTATGCTACGCCATATTATTTCTTCTCAGATGTTTAATTTCATAAGTTCTAATAAGGTTAATTTTAGTTGCTTCTACCTTAAGCAACTTACAACTTTGTTTATCACAGGAAAAAAGCTACTGTTCAGTATGGCTATTCTGCTCGAGCCAGCTGAAGTGGGCTTTCAATTCACTGTCATTTTAAAGAACCTTTAGAAGAACAGTGGATGAGAGACTCAGCTCTCATCCCATTACCAGACTTATTTAATCTAAAATGCCTTTGAGAGAGAGAGACTCCCTTATCTCTGAGTTGTGCAAACACAACACTGCATATTGATACAAGATCTGTAGTGAACCATGTAGAAAAACTGGTGGCGAGCAGAATTCTAAGTATGTGCATCCAGCAGGTAAAACAGGGTTGAAGATAGTGGTTGAAGTCTATGGCTGTGTCCCTGATACTGAAGAAGAATACAACTGCTTCTGCAGCGCACAGAAAAGAGAACTAGTCTGGTGGATACCAGAACTGCATTAATACAACTAATATCTTTAACACATCAGGAGGAAAAAAAAAAGAAAGAAGGGGGGTGATGTCTAACACATTATGGTGACATGTAAGCTCCCAAATGCTGAAATACTGATGTAGATTTTGTTGTTGTTGTTGTTTTAGTCATAATTGCTCCAGTGTCAAATGAGATTGTAATGAGAAGTGGAGTTGTTACAGAAAGTTCACTGTTTTGGAAGTTCTGTGAGATGGTGTCATATAACAAGTTTTTCTCCCCATGTTTTTTTCCACTTTTGCAGCTGCCTCTTCATTTCCTGGTTTGGAGACTGACTCAGAAAAGAAGACATTAAGCATTAAAATTAGCTGAAAAATAAAGGGTGGAGATGTGAAAAATGTCAGGCAGGGACTTTGCATTCTATTTATCATGAGCTTTCAAACTTTTTCAACATTTCTTAATAGTTTTCCTTAATATCAGTTGTTGCAACTACTTTTAGAAGACATTTTGGAAGACATGAGGCCTAGATACTGCAGACAAGAACCCTTATGACTTGCGCCACAGACTGACCAAAAATTGATTCCAGATGTTCCAGATGCCTCTGATAAGGCAAAACCTGATGTCTCATCAGGTTGCTTTGTAGCAACCATTGACAACAATATAGAGGCTGATCTTATGTATGTTGTAGGGTAAACTTGTATGAACATAACTGTAGGGGTGAGAATATTCTAGAGCCATTTTTCAGCCTGTTTGTGTGCCAGTGTTTTGCAGTGTTTGCACAGTATGGGTTTGATGTGAAGATATAAGGCTTCAAGACTACACTGAGATGGTTTCAGTTGACCATTTATAGTTATAATTACACTTGTAAATCACAGCCTATACTCATCCTTGCAGATTTAAAAGGAAGTAATTTCTAGCTCATAGGAGATTATCTGTACTACCTGTCTTATAGATCTACTCTATGGTCTGCAAAGTGCATTTAATATTAGAATTGGCCTTTATGCTGAGAAACCATATTTTTGCTTGACTTTACCATGAGCCAAACAGGAGCACAGAGCAATTAAAAGTCTAACTCTTGCTCACTTTTGAACACTTCGGTGAAACACCTGAGTTTGAAGATCTGGCTGTAGGACAAAGGGACAGGGGGGAACCAGCTCTGAAGATCACTGTGGGAATTTCACTCATTTTTCTAGATGTGTTTGTCCTTCTCATTAGCACAGAGGACCCAGGGCTAGCAGATTCCCATCCACTTCAGCCCACTGCCTCAGGTTACATTAAATGAATCCAGGCCTCAGATGAACAGTCTCAAGAAGGGAAAAAAAAAAAATATCAAAACCATACACTAATATGTCAGTAAAGCAGCAAAGAAGTAAAGGGGATAAATGGATATTTGTCTCAGCATCTCTAGGATGAGAAGTGCAGCTCAAAGTCTTTCCATCCTCCAACTGCTCCCTCTGCTGCCTGCAAGATGGTTAGAGGGGAGCCGGGAAATCTGCATG